GGTCCTGCAACAGACAGTCGAGTATTCCTATAATTCAATCATATCCTGTCGTACTAAGCATCACTTTTGGCTCAGCGGACATGCAAATAGCGTGATGTTCGTCACGCGGCATAATTCGCAGCCCTAAGAATGCTCCGAGATAACATTCAAATTGTAACGATTGATATCCGTGTTAGATAATTTTGTTGTCCACTATATGATTGAAACGTTTGTCAATTATGCCTTTTCACAATCGCCATACAATTATGCCTATAGCATTAGTAATGAATGGTGCAAGTGACACACAACAATTGTAAAACCGAACTAAAAAGCGAATATTCTTGTTCGATTTGCAGTGGGTTTATTTAGGACCGTTTTTGAATTCGAATGAGATGCAAAGTCGACATTGACAGTAGACTATAAACACTCGATGCCAGGCACAATTCAATGAGATATATCACCGAGCGGGACAACAATCAGCGAATCACGTTGTTAGATGCCACATGGTGCCGAAACCCAAATAGAAATATACAGAGATGAACAGGGTAATATGTGAACTTTGATAGCTTCGTACCGCTGAAACAAGAGTGAAATCGGATTCGATGCGTAGCTATGCGAACAAAGGAAATTTCTTCTACAAACATAAGGGATTGGACGGAACAACAGCTTTCTTCAGGGAACGATTACTCAGATGGCTTGATAGATAAACATCTGATGGAGAGACCTGAGGGACCGATAGACATATGACCAACAGACAAAAACTCTATTTACAACTACACTTTAAGGTAATAACTCGGCTGAGTGGCTTACAAGATGAATCAATCAAGCGTTACGTTAAAAGTTTACAACGACTGAGCTGCGCATGTATTTCACCACGTCTCCAAGCGATACGGTTCCACTTAAAACATAAGCTGTCCTTCCAAGCATTCAATTGATTTTCTGTAGCGAGCTCGATCAGATGAACTACGGGGTAGTTGTCAACAACACCTCTATTGGTACGGTGAAACCCGGATGACAACACATACTGCGGTCACGGCATTTAGTTCATGTCTATCAGGCTTTTCTCATCATTTACCGCCAGCATTACTAAAACGACTAATACAGTTATAAAAATAATTACTGGGCATATCATATTTGCATTACGTTGGATGTGTATACAGATTTGATTGGTGCATATAATTAGTTAATTATGTGATTAACAAACAAAAATGAGTTTCAAGGGATGAGGCATATAAAGGTTAGGACCGGAGCAGGGTTAATCATTACCCGTTTGGGTCATGGGATCATGCAAGAGGTCACGTTCAGTCTTACGATAGACTTCAAAGGGGGATTATGGCAGTTGAAGTGCTTTAAGAACTCGCTTTTGAGAACATGGTGATGGAGTAAGCAGATGAATGACTACTACCTCAGTCGTTGCTAAATGTTATTGACGATCAACCTTTGATGGATAAGAAGGCACCCGGTAGATCACATTAAAGGCATCTTCACTCACAATATGCCCTGTATTTGAGAGATGTTAAACAATGTCACTAAACACATCAATCCAACCTTCACACATATCAAGCGTTGAGCAAATATGATGTCTATTACCTATTTATCTAACTGTATCAGCCAGAAATATAAGTTATCGAAAACGAGCTTGTTCGCCATTTCGTGTTTTCTCCAATGTTACCATGGGAATCATCACTGGAAAATGGCATGGGAACGGTTAGTGAATAAATTGGGATTGAGCAGATGACTGAGGAAGTTAAGAAACCTATAGGCAAAACTATCACACGAGAACATATCTAGATTACACGGCTTTACGATCATAATGTTTAAGGGGATAAGAAGAATACGGCTCATAATTGCTAACCGGTGGCGAAGAGCGGTGAGATCCTTATTTGTTAGTATCGGGAAAACTATAGGTTGTGAATTTCCCAAGAGTCACGTGCATCAGTCTGAACGACCTGGCAGTATTCCGCCCACGTGGATGCAGATCATGGAACTTTTCTTCCTATAAAGGTTATTGTATCGTGATTTGTTCGGCACACAACCTGAGCTGAGACGTGAGTGAAATTATAATATAAATAGTCTTGCTTGCAAACGTTTCGTAGCCAATGCGACTTCGAAGAAGAATAAAGCATGACCGATATCAAGACAAAACATGTGCGAAACTAGCTACCATACGAGGAAGGTTGAGAACGGGAGCTATGATACGAAAACCGCTTGGCAGGTGACGTAGTACCGCGTGCAAGATTGGCTCGCGAAGAAAAATCATACAGCGTCTGAAATTCCAAGCTCCAAATTCATTCAATCAGCTTTCGGTGCACGATCGTGTGACCGCCAGGCTCAGGTAAGCGGGGTTATTTCCAGTCACTAGTGATTAGTGGTATGCACTTACAAGTAAGCGAGTTCAAACCAGTCCTGACTCGTAGAATTCGATCGCCAATCCACCAAGTTCATGCAGGTAATCCTGCCCATTGGCAGGCATGTTTGCGAACGCACTTTATCTACTGAAATACCTACGTTAGGATTTATTCCAACTGCATTTTCTCTCTCTCTCTTGAATGCGGACCGAATAATATGAACTGGTATTATTCAGGTACCATTAAATTGCTGCTTTGATATGCTCGTGAGTAGTTGCAGTCAAATGCAACTGGTGTAATTGATAGTGTCGTTGTCAATATCGCTCACTTGGAACTATCTGAGAAAAGGTAGATGTTGCTGATCGCAACCGTTTCCAACATAGTCACAACTCCTCTCGATGTCGAAACTGTTGACATACAATGGTCCATAATCAAGACGTCCATCAGAGAAACGGCACTGGGGCAGTTAGCTAAGACTATTCGTCAAAAGATGTCTGGATCTATAAGTGTAAACTGTAATTGTCCCCAAAGTCATGAGATGCGCAGATCATCGATTGGTCTGAATTCAGTAGTCTACGTAGTCAAGCTGCACTCTCCGTCAAGAGAAAAATGAGCAGAAAATGCATAAATAGGTCGAACACTTCGACGGGTTGCTAAACCTTCCCATCAAACCATCATGGCTCCCCAGAGGTGTCAATCAGTTCGGAGACCTATGACATCAATTATGGTTCACCTAGTGGGACAGAAATCGCCAATGCATTCGCTTCTCGTAAAAGCAAGTAGGCTGTTAGGGAGGACACGTTAAATCCAGAGTTATTCAAGGCTTACCTACCAACTCTGATCAATCCGCTGCACTATCTCTTCAACTCCATTTGAGGAAGAGAAATTTTTCCAGAGGACTGGGAAATTTCAATTTTAGTCCCTATTCCAAATGAGGTAACAAGTCCAAATATAAAAACCATACAGGTAACAACTTTCAAATTGTTTGCAATGGTACTGTTTTACCATTACGCAACAATCAGAAATAACTGCACCCTACGGAACCAGGAGGGTTGCGCTACGTAAGAGACTATGCTGAACAAATCTTCACTCTGGAGACGATCCTGGAGCATTGCTACAAATTTCAATAGTTTACCACGGCGTGATTCAACTCCCTCATTGCCTTTGACTTTGTCGGTAGACAATCCTTGCAGCGCATACTACGGTTTGGCATCTTTCCAGAGCCGAGCATGCGTCCGTACGTGTAGA